CTGCAAAGCGTTACGGTTTCTAGTAACTCAAACATTAACGCTATTTGAGATTTATAGAGCACTTGTATATCTTTCTTTAGAAATCGAAATGACCGCTAAGTGGTAAGCGTTATGGTTAAGACAAACTCCATGCAAAAACTCCATTTCCTCAACTGCCAAAATCCACAGTCTTGGCAACGAAAAAATCATTTATTTTATTTGACTCTAAATGCATTTCTGAACTGTTAATTTGAACAGTTAATTTGGAAATGTTCCAAAAATGCTCTGTTTTTTTTTCAGGCGAAACTGTCCCATGTGATGAATGGATTCCTCTGCATGACATTGAGGAAAAACTCTCAGATTCGTCATCTCTTATGAATAATTCTGACAATGCATCTTCGGTATTTGATCAAACAAATAACAGCCAAGATTTGTCTGACTCATCTTTACTGGATCTCTCAGCTGATATACAACAGGTGCTTGCACAGTTTAATATTAAATCTTTTTTTTTTTCCTCGCCATATTAACGCTGTTTTTTGAAAAAATTTTGCCATCACCAGAATAACGCTTCTTAGAAAATAACATATTACTTTCATAACTGATGCTGGTCAAGTTACCTTTATGTTTTATCCTTATGTTTTGTTTTCTATTTTATGTTTTTCACATTTTCATCTCCATTACTCTAAATATATATTTTGTTGCTAAGGAAACTTAAAATTTTTTTCTTCTATATAGAGCAGGAAGCTTTTTAAAAATGAATGCTGTTCTTGTAGATACGCTCTCTTCTTGTATACCATTCTCATTTTCATCTTTTATGCCATATATATCATTAAATATATTATTATATATTATTAATATAGTATTTAATATTATTATAGTGTCATAGTTAAACCTTCATAAGTATGTATCCTGCGTCATGATTAAATTCTCCTCCTTTAGGCTTTTCCCATCTTCGTCTCCCTTATCCTTTTCATACTAAATATATGTTTTGTTGCTATGGAAACTTGGATTTGCTTTCTTTAAATATATGATATGGTATGAACTTTTCTAAGTATGGATCCTCTCATCTCCTTTATGCTTCGCACATTTTCGTCTCCTTTATGCTAAATGTATACTTAATTACATTGGAAGCTCGAAATATTTTTCTAAATATAGAGTATGAATCTTTTTAAGTAAGAATACAGTTCTCGTATTGCTACTTTTCTCTTTTATGCTTATGAATCTTTACCTCTTTTATGTTGAGTATATATTTTGTTGATATTAAAATTTATAATTTTTTTTCCCTATATAAATTATATGAAATTTAAATTTGAATCCTGATATAGTGTAACCCACAATTTCAGTAATAATTAAACAAATCATTCGCCAAATGTACTTTTTTTTTAAGAAAAAAAAGTTTATTTTCGTTATTTTAATAGTTTTCTTATTTTGAATAAAATACTCTTTTTTTTTGTTGCAAAACTATATTTATGATATATTTTCTTTTTTAGCAGGAATCGACAAATACTCAACCTGTGGGAGCTAAAAAAGAGTTAGAAATCGTTATAGCAATTGAGAAAGAACTGGTAAGAATTCATTTTGTAATACTTTGAGAATGAATTTTTTTATGTTAGATGCTTTTTTTATGTTAGATGTTTTTATTAAGCCATTTAGTTAGATGCTGTTTACTAGATTATGTTCTAAGTCGGCGTAGTTAATAAGTGTGTTTTTTAAATATGTTTTTTGTTACCTTTCTGCAAACCTAACTGAAGAAAGATTATTTATTTTTGAGATTATACCGAATGAAGTTAAACTTAAGTTTATAGGAATAATTATTTAGAAGTTATTGAGTTCTTCATAAAAACTGTATATTTTTCGGCTTATACTTATATACATAGCTGCCAACCTCTACTGGATTTTCCAGTAGACTACTGAATTATGCCTGTTTCTTCTGGTCTACTGGTTTAATAAAATTTCTTTTTGTTTTTGTACAGTATAGAAAATTCCCTAAAATTGAGTAAGTTTTCTACAAATTCCCTATTAAAATAGAATTTCTGCACAGATCATTACTTGCTTGAATATTAAAATAAGTATTATTAATACATAATGAAGCGAGCCTCATTTACATAAATCAGTTTAAAACTTTTTTTGTTCTAAAATTTTTAGTTTAATTTATTCAGAATATTCAAATCTATATGATATATGGTTATAATTTTAGTTATAAAGGTTATAATTTTTTCCTGGAAAAAAGTATAATTTTTTTTACAGGTCAATATTATCAATATTTGGAAGAATTATTTTTAACATGTGATATTCAATTATCTGTGCACATTTGTATTTATCTGTAATTTCATATCTTAGAAGATTAAAACACATTAAAATACATTCAGCTATAGAAACTATGATAATTTGTTGAATATTTTTGATTTCTTAGTCTTGTCTGATTTATGTGATAATATTGTAGAATCAAGTAATTTATTATTTTTTCAGGAACATTTTAGAAATTTTTTAATTTATTAATTATTGGGAAATAAACTTACTTGAAATTAAAAAATGTGATTTCATTGAAAAGGAAAAGTGTTACTAATAATGTTCATTATAAACTAACAAGTGTTGGAGATTGCAAAAAATGCATGTTAGAAATACTTTTTCTTCATTTAATTATTATGGTTCAAAACATGCAAAGTTGTTTCGTTCTTTTTGTTCTTGAAAAAAGTTTCTTGAAACATTATGATATTTAGTTCTTCTCTTTCTAATGATACTTGCCTGTTTAAAATTGTAAAAAGTTTTGAAATTATTGTAGGAATAATTTTGAAACATTTCAATAACATGCTTGATTTCTTTTATTTTTATCGGTCATATCTATTTTATTACTTTGGCATACATTTAAAAAAAAAACGAGATTTAAAATCTTTAAAAAAATTTCTTTTGTTTTTAATATTAATGAGAATAATATTCTTATTANTATTACTAATTATTTTAAAATTATTTTAAACTATTTTAATTAAATATATCACTGTTTTAAATTTCTTACAGAATTTTTAATAATTGCAATTAAGAATTTAAATTATTGCATTTATTAATAATTTGCATTTAAAACAAATAGTACATAAAAGTCTAAATTTTTTTTAAATTTATTGAAAGCAAATATCGGTAGGGAAGCAGAAACGTACTTTTTTAAAAATGAAAAATAATATTTAAGTTTAAAAAAAAAACTTTTTTTTGATATATTGTTTTAATTTGTTGCTTTGTCCTGAAAATGGCATCTTATTAATCTAAATTAATAAATCTAAATATTTGTTAAGGTCTAAATTATTATAAACTCAAAATTTTCTTTTTTTATTTGTGAGTTATATCGTCTCCCTCCACTCGACCGAACGCAATTGTCAAAGACGAAGCTCTAAATAAATTTCTAAACCTCTTAATTTAATTTAATTTTAATTTAATTTAATTTTAAATTAATTAATTTAATTTTAAATTAATTAATTTAATTTTAGTTCATTGAAGTTTAATTTATTTAAAATTTGATTAAATT